TAATAATAATAATAATAATAATAAACCTGACAGGAACAAGAGGGACTTCGTCCTTCGGCTGAGGTCCCTAATAAAGAATAAAGAATACATATACATATAATATTTATATGTACAGACTTCGTCCTTCGGCCGAGGTCCCTAATAAACGCACCAAAAACAAGAGGGTCCTCGCCCTTCAGCCGAGGTCCCTAATAAACGCAGCAAAAACAAGAGGGACTTCGTCCTTCGGCTGAGGTCCCTAATAATAATAAACACAGCAAAAACAAGAGGGACTTCGTCCTTCAGCCGAGGTCCCTAATGATAATAATAATAAATTTTATTTATAAGTGCTTTTAACAAATGCTCAAAGACACTTTACAGTTTTTTAAAAATCATAAAATAGAGCCAGAATAAAAAACAGCAATAACACCAGAACTGAATTTAAAATCCTACTGTTAACTTATAAAGCTCTAAATGGTCAGGCTCCCTCATATCTTAGAGAGCTCATAGTGCTATATAATCGCACCAGAACTCTGCGCTCTGAGAACGCAGGGTTACTTGTGGTCCCTAAAGTCTCCAAAAGTATATCAGGAGCCAGAGCCTTCAGCTATCAGGCTCCTCTCCTGTGGAATCATCTTCCTGTTATGGTCCAGGAGGCAGACACCGTCTCCACATTTAAGACTAGACTTAAGACTTTCCTCTTTGATAAAGCTTATAGTTAGGGCTGGCTCAGGCTTGCCTTGTACCAGCCCCTAGTTAGGCTGACTTAGACTTAGTCTGCCAGAGGACCCCCTATAATACACTGGGCACCTTCTCTCCTTCTCTCTCTCTCTCTCTCTCTCTCTCTCTCTCTCTCTCGTATCCTATTACTGCATCTTGTTAACTTGGCCATTCTGGATGTCACTAATTCGGCTTCTTCTCTGGAGCGTTTGTGCTCCACTGTCTCTCAGGTTAACTTATATCGCAGCGGTGCCTGGATAGTGTGACGTGTGTGGTTGTGCTGCTGCCGTGGTCCTGCCAGATGCCTCCTGCTGCTGCTGTTATCATTAGTCATACTTCTACTGTTATTATACACATATGATTATTGTCACATATGTATACTGTCAGATATTAATATATACTTTCAACATATTATATCACAGTAGCCAGAACTATAATTATAATATTATTACTTTCATTAATGTTGTTGTAAGCTACTGTCATTACCGTCTGTCCTGCATCTCTCTGTCTCTCTCTCTCTCTCTTTTTCTGTCTCATTGTGTCATACGGATTACTGTTAATTTATTATGCTGATCTGTTCTGTACGACATCTATTGCACATCTGTCCATCCTGGAAGAGGGATCCCTCCTCAGTTGCTCTTCCTGAGGTTTCTACTGTTTTTTTTCCCCCATTAAAGGGTTTTTTTGGGGGGAGTTTTTCCTTATCCGCTGTGAGGGTCCAAAGTACAGAGGGATGTCATATGCTGTAAAGCCCTGTGAGGCAAATTGTGATTTGTGATATTGGGCTTTATAAATAAAATTGATTGATTGAGATAAAGCACACAAACTTATACGTTAAAAGCTGATTTAAAATGGTGAGTTTTGAGCATGGTCTTGAATGTTGGGAGGTGTGTGCAGATACGGATGGGTTTGGGGAGTGAGTTCCAGAGGGATGGGGCCGTGCTGGAGAAGGCGTTGTCTCCCCAGGTTCGGTGCTTGGTCCGTGCAGGTAGTGAGAGGAGATTTCCTTCGGATGAGCGGAGGTCACGGGAGGGGGTGTGGTGGTGGAGTAGGTGTGTGAGGTAGGAGGGGGCCTGGTAATGTTCATTGCAGTTGTATAATTCTCAAACCACCCATTTGGCCCAGCGAGGTGCTACGGAGCCAGGATCTGTTTCGGTGTCAAGCGGTTGAAGAGTTGCGGCGTTTGCTGCCAAAGCCATGCTCACCGAGTCCCATTCACGTTGTTGTTAGCCATTAGCTGTTAGCTTCACTCATCCACATCCGTGTATCTCATCTTTTCTTGTTGTCCATCTTTTTTTTCAATGGTGGCGTCTTCTTGTCTTTCCTTTTACACCTCGTCGCCAATGTAATGTTTGTAATGTGTTGTACACACCAGGCTGGACAACCGATGTGCATTCAATGGGCTTCATTAACTGAACTGCCGTTTACAGCATGCTGCCCGCTTATCAACTGCTTGAATAATCCCTCAGAGGAAGCGTGTCCTGTAGGAGGCATAGTTGCACACATTTCAATGTTGTGAACATCACATTGGCTACATCTAATTTATGGTTAAAACACGAGACTGATGTGGGTCTCATTAAGTTGACACAACCAGTGGAGGAAATTAAAGGTAGGATGCAAACCACCATGGAAACTGCAATATCCACTAATGCCTGATGCTGAGGCCAGTATTGAGCAGACAATACAGGACCTTTTGGGGGCAGGTGTGTTGGTGATTGAACCAAATCCATGTAGTAACACACCAATCGTAGTTAGTTAGTTAGTTCATTTATTTCTCCTTTCGGAAAATCTTTTTTGTGTCTGTGGCATCGTCAGAAAAATACATAGGAAACATAACAATTAAGGACAAACATTAGACAACCATAAAACAAGTACAACCACAACTGATAACAACAGCAAGACATAACAAGACATCATTTAACAACAGTGTTCTGCAACAGCATCACCAACAATCAAAAATTAAGAAACCTACCAGAGTGTGCACCTTGTAACACAATCATAAATCTTGCTGATAAAGAAGGCAGACAAAAATAAGTACCGGCTGGTACACAATCTGCATTAAATGAGGTAGTAGAGGACTTTCAGTCCGAAGTTCCAAATCCTCATACTCTGTTGTCCAGTGTTCCACCCAATGCAATGTAGTTCACTGTGATTGATCTCTGCACTGCATTCTTTAGTGTGCCTCTTGGTGAGTCTAGTAGGTACCTCTTTGCATTCACCTATACTGTCATTCACCACAGTCAGAGAAATGCTGACATTTTTGGGAGTGACTAGATACATTGCAGAGTGGATTGATGGATACACTGCCATTGTTCAGTCTTTGAGGGACATAGTAAAAGCAGAAGGTCCTGGAAATATAAAAGCAAAACTAACATGGACCCCTGAAGGTCACGTAGCGTTTGAAACAATAAAAAGCAGTTGTTCGTGTCATGCCGTCAAAACCACGCCTGTGGAATGTTAGCTCAAAAGACAGGTGTTGGTTCACATGCGCAGCCTATGGCGTATTACTCTGTGGCATTGTTATCACCATTTGGCTGCAGCGCATTTGATGTATAAGAAAGCATCAGCATTGACCATGGGTTATCCCATGGAGATTTTGTCACACCACACGTTGGTAAACCTGATTGAAAGAGGCAAATTTGTGTTAACTGCACAGCGCCTCACTGACTATCACAGACTTTGTGAATATCCAGATGTGACATTGCCACATGACTGAGTGGTTGAAGCAATGCGCTCTGATTTGAGGGCTATTCCCTTGGAAGCCGCCGTCATGACACTGTTCGTGGACAGCTCCTGTTATAGAGATGGAGATGCTCTTAAAACAGGGTTTGCTGTCATTGTTGATTAATGAAGCACATGGGTTAAGTCATAAGTCAAGAGGTGAAGTGTTGAGAAGAATAAGAGAATGGAACTTCTGGGCTCCAAATGTAACATTCATTGATTGATTCAGCAGATGGGTGAAAGCCACACCTGCCAAGCATAAAAATGCTGAGGCAGTGGCTAAATTTTGTGTAAAGAAGTTATACCTAGATTTGGCATTCCTGTAAAAATAAATTCAGATAACGGAAAGGAGTTTGTTGACAAAACAGTGAGATGCATGCTACAAGGGCTAGGGATCAAGCGATGATTTGGGTCAGTATACGGTCCAATGTCGCAGTCTGATGTTGAGAGATGCAATGGAATCTTGAAAAATAAACTGCTAAAAATCTGTATGAGCACAGGGCTAAATTGGATCGATGCTTTACCACCCGCTCTTGTGGCATGCAGAGCAAGCGCTCACAGGACTGTGGGACTAACTCCGCATGAAGTTCTAACTAGCAGGCTAATGCCGTCACCAGCTTATAGGGCTGTTAAGGGTCCCTCAACATGAGATCCTATGTTCAACAAATGACTAATGACTAGAGAAGAAAGACCTCGCTAGGGGAGAAGGACCTTATGAGGTAGTCAGAACTACCTCTAGAGCAGTGTAAGTGGGGTCTCCTACATGATACCATTTAAATCACTGTATAAACGTTTCAGAGGACACAGACGAGTCAGGGTCCGAGGTAGTCAAAAAGGATGAGTATGTGGTGCAAGGACAGATCCTAGAAACAGGAGAGTGATGATGGTGATACTCTGACCATTGACATTGACAATCTTGCTCATGAGTTGCCAGTATTTTCAGCCATCCCCTCTCCCAGTGGGAGCGTTAGATTGAATTAAATTAGATTAGATTAGC